CTCCTCCTCCTCCTCCTCCTCCTCCTCCTTCTTCTTCTTCTTCTTCTTCTTCTTCTTCTTCTTCTTCCTTGCCCTGACAAGGTTCCCCCAAGCTGCTTTTAGCATTGCTTGTTCTGTTCTTCCTATGATACCAGTTAGTTTTCACCTAGCCTGTACTCACTGTCAGGCCTTCTCTGACTCCTCTCCGGACTATATAAAATTGAGTTGCAGTCCTCTGGCAAGGACTTGGGCTACCGTATCATTCTGTCCAGCACCTAGTTCACTTGGCACTAAATAAATACACGAGACAGGACTAATAGGAAATAGTAAGGCAGACTAGAAAAGACTTGGTGGGGAAGGGAGTGAGTGTAAGGTATTAGCAAGAATCACAAGTCCTGGACCAGACTACCCTAGGTTCTTTCATTGTACAGAAGAACTGGCTGGCAGGGTATTTATAAAAGAAATGAAAGACCAAGGAACTGATCATGGTCCTCAGTAAGAAAAAAAACCCCTACTCTCTATTTTTTGCTATGAAGCCATAGAAAGGGATGAAATACCTCTGTTGCCACACCAGTGTCCAAATTTAGAGGAAACCTAGTCGTTTAAGGGCAGTGTAAAAAATTACAGGCCAGTATTACTACAAGCCTGATTCAGGTAATGCGCACAAACATTTCTCGTGACTTCCATCACCATAGCTATTGTCTGAATCAGTTCTTTAACCATGGACTAGAAAGCTTTGTTCAGGAGTAGCATACTACTGTAGAGATTTCCGCAATGTCTGTGTTTTTGGTGAAACAGAAACTTCTTTCAAACTGTGTTAACAATTCTTCTCCACTGCCTCTCTGTCCACTTTTGGCAGTCCCTCTCTGCCTGTGACATCGTTTGAGTTCCTTTATTCAGCCTTGAGGCACTATTATAGTTTGTTGTGGTGGTGTCCACGAAACTCTAGTCAACAAAATTGTTTAGGTCAAGCCAGCCATTTGGGGTACGATATAATTATGTACCAACTCTAGAAGTGATGGAGTTGCACAGTGCAAGTAACCATGTTGTCTGTTTCAAAAGCCAGGAACCTTCCAAAATGGAGGTTGCTTGTTCAAGACTCATTAGATAATCTTAAGCAGATCATTCTGTTAGCCTTGGCATCAGCAGTATAGATGCCAAGGCCAGGGGAAGCTGACATCGCTTTAATAGAGTTGTTACAAGAATTATCGAGAGAACATTCTATGCAGCACTGTCCACTCAAAGAGACTATACAAATGAGTTCTGCCCCCATTTTTCAAATTGGGTTAAGCTGATCAAGGGAAAACAGATAATTCTTAAAAGAGCTTCATACATAACATTTCTTATCCCATAGATATTGCTGCTAATTGTCCCGGGCTAATTGTCCCACCGTATCCCCAAACAGACTGCCCCAAATAATCTTAATTGTTTTAAGAACAGGCCTTTAGGAAATCAGAAATCAAGTGCAAAGTTGTGAGAGCAACACAGAACTGTTTCCGCTGTTAAACCTAGCTACCAAGACATCTGGATGACAGCCAGCTGTTGGTGTCAGTAACGTCCCCAAATCCTCCAGTCTTCCACCTCCAGAAAAAGAGATGATAAAGCTGAATCCAAGATCCTCTGTGCTTCTATCGTAGTGCAAAGCCCGTCGTTTCTGGGGCAGAATTTAATTCTGCGATAGGTTGCTGGTCTCTGCTGCCTGTGGTTGTTTCCCTCATATACCAGAAAGTATGGAAGAATAAGGCAAACAGCTTTGTGCCGTTCCCCTTGGCGGTATTTAAATG